GGAAAATAATAAAGCTCTTCAGAAAAATTTTACAGAGGGTTTTGCAAATGAGTACTACCCACAATCATTTCAGTTTGTCTCCATTCTCCCAGGTGCATGTCAGGAAACTAAAATCTTCATTCTTCACTATTTACCTGAGATAAGTTAAATATATTGAGCAAGTACCTATTTGTAAAACTACCGTATCATTACTGTTACAAGGAAATATTTTCCATTTATTTTTCTGATGCATCTACCTATTGTTAATAAGTATATAGTTTTTTCTATTTTTTATTTGATCTATCATTTTGACTTATAGAGTATCTCTGGCTTTTTATTATAACCTGTTTGTATTTTTGTCCTAAGAGTGGCTTAATTTATGAAGGCCATCAAAGGGTAAAAATAGTCACTTTATTGGCACATAGTTCCTATTACAGGAAATAATTTGGTTAAAATAAATGTCATTTTGAGTAATCTTTAGGACAACTCCCAGTCTTAGGCAAACTTGGGTGTGCCCTCACCTATGACATAGTCAGAAAAAGTAAATGGGGGAGTTTAGACACACAACAGTTGAAAGGTGCCCAGACATATCTCAGAGCAGTGTTAACATGATGACTACACAATTTGGATTGCAAACCCAGAAACACCCTTCAGGTTAAATCCACTGAACAATTGTAATTTTTACAGACAAAACTAGTTTCATTCTAGTAGGTTCATTGGCCTGTATACTCCCAGATTTGCCTTTGTTTTAGTTTTAGTTGTTTTTTTTTTTTTTGAGATGGAGTCATGCTCAGTTGCCCAGGCTGGAGTGCTGTGGTGTGATCTTGACTCACTGCAGCCTCCACCTCCTGGGTTCAAGGAGTTCTCTGCCTCAGCCTCCTGAGTAGCTGGGATTACAGGTGCCCGCTATCACGCCCAGCTAATTTTTTTGTATTTTTAGTAGAGACAGGGTTTTATCATATTGGCCAGGCTGGTCTTGAACTCCTGAACTTGTGTTCCACCTGCCTCGGCCTCCCAAAGTGCTGAGATTACAGGTGTGAGACACCATGCCCAGCCTTGTTTTAGTTTGTATATATGTTAATAAAAGATTGGCAGGTTCTTGGAGGTTAGTCTTCAGATTATCAAGTAAGTCTCAAGAATTGCCCATAATTTTTTAATTATAATAAATGAAAAATAAAAATCTAAGTTGAACTTGTAGGGAACTACACAGACTTGTTTCTACTCATCTGAAGTATAGGAGGGTGTTCAAAGGAAGACTCCTGGCTTGTCTCGAAAGTACACATGCATCATGTATGGCAGCTTAGAAGGCGAGAAAGTATATTATACAGCAGAGCAAGTTAATTCTTCTTTTTTTTTTTTTTTTTTTTCTTGGGACGGAGTTTCGCTCTTGTTACCCAGGCTGGAGTGCAATGGCGCGACCTCGGCTCACTGCAACCTCCGCCTCCTGGGTTCAGGCAATTCTCCTGCCTCAACCTCCTGAGTAGCTGGGATTACGGGCAAGCGCCACCATGCCTAGCTAATTTTTTGTATTTTTAGTAGAGACGGGGTTTCACTATGTTGACCAGAATGGTCTCGATCTCTTGACCTTGTGATCCACCCGCCTCGGCCTCCCAAAGTGCTGGGATTACAGGCTTGAGCCACCGCGCCCGGCTTAGCTGAGCATGGTGGCATGCGGGTTTAAGCTTTGCTCTTCTTGCCCAGTGTGGAGTGCAATGGCATGATCTCAGCTCACTGCAACCTCTGCTTCCTGGGTTCAAGCCATTCTCCTGCCTTAGCCTCTGGAGTAGCTGAGATTACAGGCGCATGCCACCATGCTCAGCTAATTTTTGTATTTTCAGTAGAAACAGGGTTCCACCATGTTGGTCAGGATGCTCTCAATCCCCTGACCTGAGATGATCCACCGGCCTTGGCCTCCCAAAGTGCGGGATTACAGGCGTGAGCTGCCACACCCAGCTGAGTTAATTCTTTCTAAAGGAAAAGTCATTTATATTTTCCTCTTTAAAACCATACCTAGTCTGCCAGAGCTATCTGAGATGTTTTTCTATTTCTCTTTATAGGACATATTCCCTGGCAATTCCAAATAACTTGTTTTAAACTGTCATACCTTGTTTTAGAAAAAGAAAGTTAGAATTACAGAATATTGAGAAGCAAGAACATAAGTTCTCAAAGTATCAAGACTATAAACTTTTTCTTGGGGCAGTAACGTGTTGTGTCTTTAGCCACTGATAAACTCAGGCATTCATTTTTTATTTTATTTATTTATTTATTTATTTTTTGAGACAGTCTCTCACTCTGTCCCCCAGGCTGGAATGCAGTGGCACAATCTTGGCTCACTGCAACCTCCGCCTCCCAGGTTCAAGCAGTCCTCCTGCCTCAGCACCCCCTAGTAGCTGGGATTACAGGCACGCGCCACCATGCCCGGCTATTTTTTGTACTTTTAGTAGAGACAAGGTTTAACCATGTTGGCCGGTCTGGTTTTGAACTCCTGACTTCAGATGATCCACCCGCCTCGGCCTCCCAAAGTGCTAGGATTACAGGCATGAACCACTGTACTTGGCCTAGTTTTTTAGAACTATAAACATTAAAATATGAGGTTCTCAACTTTTTCTGTTCCTGCACACCTGAGAGATACAAGGTATTCATATTAGTGACTATAGCTGGGAATCAGAATCTTGAAGGAGGGGTGTTGGTATGATTAAAGAGAAAAATAGATGATGTGATAACCCTTACCCAACTTATCCTCTAGAGTCACTGGAGTAGATTTAGATGATGACCAAGGTTCTTCTAGTTCTAAAATTCTATTCTTTCCATGCCACCTACATGCCTGCTTCTCCACAACGATAGGGCCCAATTTTTCCTAAGAGAGAGTGTGACAGCAATCTAATAAACCAACTTACTACAGAACTGTTATTCCTACTTTGTCTTATGTGCAAGAACAACATATATACATGTGGCAGGGGGCAGGGGGAAAGATAAGGTCTCGCCCTGTCACCCCGGCTGGAGTGCAGTGGCGTCATCATAGCTCGCTGCAGCCTCTAACTCTTGGGCTCAAGGGAACCTCTTGCCTTAGCCTCCTGAGTAGCTGGGACTACAGGTGCATGCACCACTATGCCTACCTAATTTTTAAAATGTTTTGTAGAGATGCAGTCTCACTATGTTGTTCAGGCTGGTCTCAAACTCAGACCTCGTGATCCTCCCGCCTCACCTCCCCAAAATGCTGAGATTACAGGCAGGAGCCACTGCATCCAACCCCAGTATCCATTATTTAGATGGGAAGTAAGATAAGTTTAAAGTAAAAACTGGGAATTCACTTGCTGGTATGTTTGGGGAAAATATTCCAGAATAGGAGCATTTCAAATTTTTCTTTTTCAAACAAAATTAAGGAAAAAAATCCCCTGAAAATAAAATTTTAAATGTTCAAATAGCATTTAAAACTTTTGTGGCAGAAATCAGGTTTCTACCTTACTTCCTTAATTAAAGTATGTAGCGTATACTCCAGTATACATCAGAAGCTGAAATTTGTTAAGTATTCTGATTGTTTCTTTCTGTCTGGAATGCTTGAAGTGTTAAATTTAATTAAGTGATATATAAAACATATGGACTATGGAAGATATTTGAATTTTGTGTAAAACAGCAATAATAGGATATAAAAATATCTGAGATTTATTGTTAGACAAAATCACAGGTACTTTTATGTAATCTGTTGCATACATCATAACTAGAAAATACTAAAGTTCAGTTAGAGGTTAGTGAAAATAAAGGGTTAACTTTTTCCCCATTGTTCACATACCGTTGGTCTAAAATTATTTTTATTACCCCAGACACATTCAAGGAAGCCAGAATCCTCAGCATCTCAAGAGATTTAGTCTTTGAGGAAAGTGGAGCTTACTCTTTTCTGTTTTTAGCTCTTAGTGCTTTTCAAAGCTTTAAAATAAGCGAGTGGTTGACTGTTAAATGGTGATTGTCCTTGTCTCTTGCATTAGGAGCTTGGCTTATTGCCACTAATTTTATTTCAGATTACTAAAGAAATTGATATTTATGAAAGCAAATTTAGTCAGTGTATCTTAAAGTCAAACTAGAACATATCTGCTAATAGCAATGTGTTTTATTTATGTCTTGACTTTGAGCTGCTGTAGCCATAAGTTTTTTTGTGTCATTAAAATGTTCATTTGTCATTAAAAATGTAACTCATGTCACAACCCTGAATCATCCTCCTACTTTATGAAACTGTTGCTTGGTTAAATTTGTGTGATTATTATTTTTTTAATTTACTTTTTATTGTGGCAAAATATATACAATACAGAAGTTACCATTTTAACCATGTTTAAGTGTACAAATCAGTGGCATTAATTATATTCACAGTGTTGTACACCCATTACCACTATCTGTTTCCAAAATTTCTCATCACCTCAAACAGAAACTCTGTATTCTTTAAGCAATAACATTCCATACCCTCTTCCACCTGGCGCCTGGTCACCTCTAATCTACTTTCCATCTTCATAAATTTGCCCTTCCTCAACATTTTATATAAATTGAATCATATATTCATCTTTTTATGTCTGATTTGTTTACCTTAGCATAATGTTTTCAAGGTTTATCTGTGTCATCACATGTATCAGAATTTCATTACTTTTTATAGCTGAACAATATTCTATTGTAGGTATGTATTACATTTTGTTGATTCATTCATCTGTGGGAGTATACTTGGTAACCTTTTGGCTATTGTGAATAATTTCACCATAAACTTTGTGGTAAAGTATCTGTTTGAGTTCCTGTTTTCAATTATTTTGGAAGTATAATTAGGAGTGCAATTGCTGATGGTGATTATGTTTAACTTTTTGAGGAATGTGATCATTCTTTACACTAGTTCATTTTGTTTTTTATTATCTTCACATCAATATTTCATAAGTTTTTTTCATTTTTTGCTTATTTCCTTGGTTGACTTTTGTTGCTGATTTTAAAGAAATTATTTGTTTTGATCATTCATTTTTTTCTTTTCTTTTCAATTGTTTGTTTTTCAGACCTGAGTCAGAACTCCATCACAGGGGAACACAGCCAGCTGTTAGGTATAGTATTACTGTGGGGATTGACTCTCTCCAAAGTCACCCTTAACTCCTTCGTTCTAACAGACATTATTCCCTTCTCTGATTCTGTTTTCTGTTCCCTCCTTTCCTACTTTCCACTCCACAACTTTTTTCCTGCTGTTTCTATTCCCACCTTGGTAAGTTTTAGGAAACTACTTCTATAACTGATTACTAAGACTCAGTTAAATTAAAAGTAATTTTGCATAGTCTGCGGTTAAAAAAATCTAAGAACTAGAACTTTTTTTTTTCAAGATAATTTAGCAAGAAGATATTATAATACCTTATAATATCTCCAACTTTGCAGCTAATTTTCCCGTTTTGTTACTTTTCTTGGCCTTTTGATCACCATTTTGATTATTAAAAAGTACTTTATAAACAGCATGGCCTTAAGCAGTCCTTAGAATTTGTTGTTCCAGTTCCTTATCTATGAAACACGTTATGGAAGTGAATTTACTTCCTCTGGTTATCACTTCTTTAACCTTCAGTAAACGTGTAATTTGACAAGAATTTTTGTTTTGTTTGTTTGAGATGGAGTCTTGCTCTGTTGCCAGGCTGGAGTGCAGTGGCACAATCTTGGCTTACTGCAACCTCTGCCTCCTGGGTCCAAATGATTCTCCTGCCTCAGTCTCCCAAGTAGCTAGGATTACAAGTGTGGGCGACCATGCCCAGCTAATTTTTGTATTTTTAGTAGAGACAGGGTTTCACCATGTGGGCCAGGATGGTCTCGATCTCCTGACCTCATAATCCGCCCACCTTGGCCTCTCAAAGTGCTGGGATTACAGGTGTGAGCCACTGCGCCCAGCCATGACAAGAATTTCACAAGACCTCAGGATTGATAAATTCTCAGAATATAAAAAGAAACGTACTCTGATGAGGCATTCATCCCATATAAAAGGTATATATAAGCAAAGTAAAAGTCCTTTGAAGTATCTCTTCTTACCACCTCACTTCCACCTCTTATAAGTAGTTGCTGTTGACAGTTTCTTGGGAATTCTTTTAGAAGTTTTTAATTATAAATTTTTATGTTATATATCATTATCTTTTTTTCGTTTATATATCAATGGTGTTATAGTAAATAGACTGTTCTGCTACACAGACTGCTTCTTTTTACTTAACATTTTACCTTGGACATCTTATATCAGTCTGTAAAGATCTGTTTCAAGGGCCAGGCACAGTGGCTCACGCCTGTAATCCCAGCACTTCAGGAGGCCAAGGCAGACAGATCACCTGAGGTCAGGAGTTCGAGACCAGCCTGACCAACGTGGAGGAAAACCCGTTTCTACTAAAAATACAAAAATTTGCCGAGCGTGGTAACACATGCCTGTAATCTCAGCTACTTAGGAGGCTGAGACAGGAGAATCACGTGAACCCAGGAGGCAGAGGTTTTGGTGAGCCAAGGTCACGCCATTTCACTCCAGCCTGGGCAATAAAAGCAAAACTCCCATCTCAAAAAAAAAAAAAAAAAAAAAGATCTGCTTCATTCCTTTGTGGTGGAAGAGTATTTTATTGTGCTCCTACACTATAATTTTATTCAGCCAGTTTCCTACTCATGAGCATTTATTTCCAAGTATGTTACTGTTATACGTTATGTTGCAGTCAATGTCTTGTACTTATAGTCCTGCAATCTTAATGCCAGTATATATGTAGGGTAAATTCCTAATAGTGGAATTCCTTACTCAAAAGATACATACATTTTTTAAAAGATATATCAGCTTAAACTGTCACCAGTGTATACTTGACTCCCTATAATTTAAAAAAATAGGTATTATTAATCTAAAATAGTTTTTTTACCTAAAAGGTAAAAATGGCATCTCTAGTTTTTTATTTATACTTCCTTCAGTATATGTGAGGTTAATTAATTTTTAGTGTATTATTTAGTATATTAACACTCGTGTGTGTATGTGTATGCTTTGATTCAAGGCTTATTTTGATCACTGCAGAGCTCTTAGCTATTTAAATACATGTAAAGCAGCTATGGAAAAACAAGCTATCAAAAAGTCCAAAGTAGGGAAAGTAGAGAATTTGTTAAATAAGCTGGGATACTTGTTTTTTGCTCTTTCTATGTTAAAGACTTAGAATAGTTCTTGACTTATTGAGACTGTAGCCCTCATTCCTTTAGTGAATTTATGTGCTAGAACAGTACGTGACATCCTAGGCACTCAATAAATATTTGTTAAGTAAATGATTTGACATAAATATAGAAATCTAATCACTAAGGTCCTGGCCGTGTGATGTTAAAATATTTTTTTTTTTTTGAGACAGATTCTCGCTCTGTCATGCAGGCTGGAGTGCAGTGGCATGATCTCAGCTCACTGCAACCACTGCCTGTCAGGTACAAGCAATTCTCCTGTCTCAGCCTTCCAAGTAGCTGGGAGTACAGGCACCTGCCGCCACACCCAGCTAATTTTTGTATTTTTAGTAGAGACGGGGTTTTACCACATTGGTCAGTCTGGTCTCAAACTCCTGACCTCACGTGATCCACACACCTCAGCCTCCCAAAGTGCCGGGATTACAGGCGTGAGCCACCATGCCTGGCCACTTTTTTATACTTTTATATTGTATAGTTGCTTTACGTTGTTCAAAAATAGTCTTCTGTATATAAAAATTTTATATTTGGATCAGGGATGATTAAGCTTTTATTGAAAAATTTTGCCAGACCATGGGAAGAACATCTTTCCTCTAAACTATGAGAGTGCTTCTATCCCTGATACATACGTGACAGCAGAGATGCTTGAGAATAGTTTATTATCATCAAGAACACATGCACAGTGGAGGCAGCTTAGCTGATAAAATGGACAGTCAAAAGTTGATACAGTTCCAGTATTACCAAGCTGGATTTGGGTCCCAACTAACCACCTGCAATAAAGGATACATGGGGAATTGTAGGCAAAAAGAAATAGCTTTGATTGTGAATGAAGAGTTATCTTAGTCATTTTTAGCCAAAAAATTCTAATAGTGTTTTCAAAGAGACTACTTTAAACATTAATCTTATTTGGCAGCCTACAGTTGCATTCAATTTTTAGCCTACTTGAGGATTTATCCAGTCTTTTGGCCAGATTCTCAGGTTAGTCCATCCTGCCACCCGGAGTTCTCTCTCCTGGGTTCATGGAGTCAGATCATATTTTCCTTTTTTTTTCATGCTCTGAAGAACTATCATCTTCTGTTTTCTGTCCTAAGTATCTTTGTCTTAGCTATAGCCTCAAAATCTTTAAAAGGCTGGTTTATTGAAAGAAATTTATGAGTTTGCAAAAGAGTGAAAGGTGTTTTTTTGTTGAATTTTCTAACCATCCGATAAGTTACTCAGAAAAGGCATTATAAGCTTGAATATTCAAGCTTATATGCTTGATTATTCAAATTCCTAATAGTGGAATTCCTTATATAATGCTTGAATGTTCAAGCTTATAATGCCTTTTCTGAGTGACTTATCAGATGGTTAGAAAATAACATCCAGCTCTCCCTAAAAACCTTGTTTAGAGTAATTTGGTCTGGTAGGTGAAAAACTGGTTCAATTGCCTTGACAGCTTAATTGAATTTGTAATAACATCTTTCAGACCTTTCCTGTTGAATTGGATATATAGTAGCACTTTCCAGGCCTTCTAAATGTATTTACTGTCAACAGGGCACTGTTATTTTAATGTTTCCACTGACTCATCAGGTCTCTTGCAAAACTTAGGGTCAGGCTAAGGAGATATATAGGAGAATAAAACTGCTATTGTAATAATGAATCAAGCTGTACACCTGTGATTTCTGAACTTTGTGTGTGTGTGTCTGTGTAGCTTTCTACTTAACAATTTTTTAGAAGGCTAGCAAGCAAACAAGCCTTGGGTCCAGGAATTATTAGAAGTTTTATCAGACAGCCTAGGAAAAATAATTCTAGTCTTCTGCAGTCAATCTCTCATGGAATAGAAAACCAAATAACCACTACCTCAGTTTTGAGACTTTTGCAGCCTTAATACCAAAACTTCAGAACGGCAATATGAGATTCAAAAAAAAAAATAGTATAGACCAACCTTACTTAGGATCATATCTACAATCCTGAACAAAATATTTGCAATCTGAATCAAGCAACATATTTTTTTTTAATTACTCCCATCGTCAAGTTTGGTTTCTGCTAGAAATACATGGTTGGTTTAATATTGAAAGTCAATTTATATAATATACTATATTTACCAATTAAAAGAAAAACATTGTATAATCATCTTAATAGATGTTAAAAAAGCATTTGCTTTGAAACATACCTGATATGGTTTGGCTGTGTCTCCACCCAAATCTCATCTTGACTTGTAATTCCCATAATCCCCACTTTTTGTGGGAGGTAACTGAATCATGGAGACAGTTTGTGAGTGAGTCTTACGAGATCTGATCGTTTTATAAGTGTCGGGCATTTCCCCTGCTTGCACTCATTCTTTCTCCTGCTGCACTATGATTTTAAGTCTTCTGAGGCTTCCCCAAGCCATGCTGAACTTCGAGTCATAAACCTCTTTTCTTTTTTTTTGTGGGGCGTGGAGGGTGGGACAGAGTCTTACTCTGTCACCCAGGCTGGAGTGCAGTGGCATGATCTTGGCTTACTGCCACCTCTGCCTCCCAGGTTCAAGTGATTCTCTTTCCTCAGTCTCCCAAGTAGCTGGGCTTACAGGCACCCACCACCACACCCAGCTAATTTTTGTGTTTTCAATGGAGATGGGGTTTCACTGTGTTGGCCCGTCTAGTCTCAAACTCTGGGCCTCGAGTTGTCTGCCTGCCTTGTCCTCCCAAAGTGCTGGGATTAGAGATGTGAGCCACTGTACTCAGCCAAACCTCTTTTCTTTATAAATTACTCAGTCTCAAGTATTTCTTCATAGCAGCATGAGAAAGGACTAATATACAAAAAACCCAATGTTTAAGTTCACAATTTCATGATGATAATTTCAAAAACTAGCCAGACACAATGGCTCACGCCTATAGTCCCCACACTTCAGGAGGCTGAGGAGGGAGATAGGATT